CTTAGGGTACGATCTCATGCACTGTTATTTTTCGCGTAACGCGTAACGCGTAATCAATCAGAGAGATTACGTGCTTTATGTTAGTACACGTAATTTCTCTGATTGGTTACGCATTACGCGTTACGCGAAAAATAACAGTGCATGGGATCGTACCCTTACTTCGTGGGTAAAATTAAACAGAACAACGCGAAAAGGACGGAATGGCTATGATTAGTCGCGCTGATTCCGCGCATTCCGTTCCGCTATGGCTTTCCGCTCAATGAAACGTCGCCCTTACGGCTTACGACTGTATTGTAGAACAGGCCTTAAAAAAAAAAAGTTTGTGCTTCGGCCTTTATACCGAGAATGGCGTATGGACTACCCTTTCAGTTCAAGATCCACAAGTGCATCAAACCTTTATATATATATATATATATATATATATGAAAGTATGTAAGGAATTCAAGGCAATGAAATTAAAGTAATAAACGGAAAAACATACAAAAATTCTTGTCTTCAGAAAGAACAAAGTGCAGGTAATCGTAACATGTGTGATGTTTGTGGAGAAGATGAGAAACTCGCGTACTGTGACACATGTTCGGTCTCGTATCACGTACAATGCCAGTAAGAGTATGATTAAATATTCTCTCATATGTATATTTATACTGAAATTGTAAGATTGATAAATATTTTGGTCTATTGTTTTTCAGCTATCCTGCAATAGATCTGAAAGATATTTCTACTGAAGAACAGGTATGCCGCGTCTGTTTTGCTCGTGAAAAGGAGATTTGGAATGAAGAAAAAGAAAACAAGGAAGAAATATCTGCTTTAGAACTATTAGCAGTGGCAGCGTCTGTAATAAAGTCAAAAGATCTTGAATCATCCGAGTTGCCTGTAATGTCTTCTGAAAGTGATAGAGTAAAACATGAAGCTGATGAGACAGGTAAACAGTTGAGTTCATCATGAGATAAACATACATGAGGCATGTGTATTTGCCATTATATAAATTTTTTATACATAAGCTTTCCATTAGAGTGAAAAGAAATTTATATAGTAAACATAAACTTCTTTTTTCTCTAGTTGAAAAAAGTTATACTTTAGACAATAACTCAGCTTCACTGCCAGCTCGTTCATGTTCTCAATGTGGACGTACATGCAGAAAAGTTCCATTAATTGCATGTGACTATTGTCCATTATACTTCCATCAAGACTGTTTGGATCCACCACTGACTACTTTTCCTATTGGTAAATGGATGTGTCCTAATCATCCTGATCATTTGATAAAGCAAAATCTAGCAACTTCTTGTCAAGTGACAGAACGTATGAAGCTGTGGGATGAATATGTGAATCAGCCACTGGATCAGTGTGCGATAAAACTGGACTTTACACGTAAAACACGTACTGTCAATCCATCATTTCGTACAAAATTGATAACAAAAGGTCGTCCCAGAGTAAAAGTTCCTAGCTGTATAAAATTTTATTATAAGAATCCAGTGCGAGTAAGTCCCTCAAATTGTTCCCAAAGTAATCTTACATGGTCTGTAAATGCCACTGTAAATGAAGGTAACCAACATATAGATTTTGAAGAAATAAATAATATTGAGAAAAACTCAGTTAAAGAAACGGAAAAAACTAATGAGATAAAGTGGGAAAGAGAAGAATGTGATAAAACTATAAATGAAGAAGAAAATAAACAAATCATCTTAGATAAGTGTGACACTAGAATTATGCCAGGTGATACACAATGTACCAACTTTGAATCTCACATAAGATGTGATTATGATATTACAAAAGATATCAAATTGTTAGAAAGACCAGTATTGGAAGTATTAGCGCTACAAAGATTAAAACAGATACTAAATGCGGAGAGTTATAAGGAAAACAATTGCCATAATAGAGTTAGAGCTGCACTGTTTTCTTTAAATCCTAAACCTAATCCACCAAGTTTTATGACTTGTGGAAACTATGTTATCGGTAATGCTCCGAACTGTGATTTAGTTTTAACTAATTATGGTAACTGTGGATTTACATCTTCTAAACATGCAGTTATATTTTTTGATCAGGTAAGTAAAAGCGTTAAAATTTTTCTTTTTTTTTTATATTCCGTATTTGCTTTTTTTTTTTTTTTTAATTATAGGTGTCCAGCTGTTTCGAATTGCTTAATTATAGCGAATATGGAACAGTAGTAGACAATGTGCTATATTCTTGTGATTATATTCCTGAACAAACAAAAGAAGAAAGATTAGAAAAAGGAGCACGCACCACAAAGGAAGATGAGACCTCTGAAATAATAAAAATGATCTTACACAAGGAAAATGTGGTATATTTGCAAGATCATATTCACAAGAGCAATAAGATCTGCAAATGCAACATGAAAAATAATAAACCTTTACAGGAAGGATGGGAAGGAAGCGCTGTTATCGCACACGGTTCGATCATTAGTTTCGGATGCATCATGTTTGTATTTAATGTATTGAACATGCATGTAGATACACAAAGTCAAATGTTTTAAGTATATTTTGTATTGTATATCTTGTCTCTTTTTAGTATACAGTTTATATTTGTCAAAAATAAAACCACTAAATTATACAGTATTTTTGAAGGTAGAATTAAGCTCATCTAATTTAGCTGGTGTCAGTATCTCCCGATTCATTACCATTGTTTCTAAATTCTGTGGCAAATCAATTCCAACTAGTGCAGTCAATATACTTTTCTTTGGCATTCCAGCATCCTTTCTCTTTTTTCTATGTACTCTGGTCGGTCTGGTCTTTTTCGGTTTTTCATGAGATTGAATGTGTTTAATTAATCCTCGTTTAGACACAAGTCCCTTAGAACATATATCACAAACAAATTTCTTTTCGAGATGAGTAACTTTTATATGATTTTCTAAATTGGATTTGTAAAAATATGTTCTATGACATTTGTCATATGGACATAATATACTTGGTCTGTTTTCAGAATGTGTTTTTATGTGATTGTCTAATCTAATTTTAAGAGAGAAAATTTTGTCACATTTGTCACACTTATATTCTGAAACAACAATCAAGAGATAAAAATGTATTGAAAAGACAATATCTTTTACTATATTTATTTAGTATAATTAATTTTTTTCTGTTAATGTTACCAGTTTCATGTTTTGCTTTTTTATGTGCACATAACTGTAGCCATTTTTCAAATACTTCTGAGCATTCAGATACCGGACAGGGATAACTTTTCTTGTGTATTTCTTGATGTTGTCTGAGTCTATTGCGCATCGCAAAAGTTTTAGGACATTTATCACATTGATAAATTGTAGGACCAGAATGGATATGACTATGCCTGTTTAGATGATGTTTTTCATTGAAAGTTAGACCACATTCCTGACAGATAAGTTCTTTATCCTTTTTATGTTTTATCATGTAATGACGTTTAAGATTATGAAGATATTTACATGATAGTGTACATTCTGTACATCTGAAAGTTAGATGTAAAAAAGAATGATGAAAGGAATCAATGTTTATATGTTCATTTGTAACTGTTTCAATATTTTGTACTTACTTGTATATTTTTACTATGGCAGTATGTGTTTCTAAATGTCTTTTCAAGTAAGTAGAATCTGTATAAGACTTTGTACATCCTGGATGAGTGCATGTATATGGTCTCTATTATAGATATACATATTCATTAATTACATATATATAATACAAAAATATATATATATTTTATA